AAGCTCAATAGTAGAGCTTGGTATTTATCAGGTCGTGATTGCGCCACTGCTTATAATACAGAACTTTATCGAACAATTGCACTGGGCAGATTGATATAGTCATGGTTGTGCTACAGAAAAAGTTGGACCGTAGCTTCAACCGGTGAAGCTCACAGCTGTCAGATGTCTCAGCTGTGGTTTGGTGCCTGGTTTGATGCATGAGTATGGTCTGTATTCCATTTATATATATATATATATATACACATATATATATGTGTGTATATATCTATATATATATATGTGTGTGTATATATCTATATATATATATGTGTGTGTATATGTATATGTATATATATATATATATATACCTATATGCGTATATATATATGTGTATATATATAATGCCTAGTAGTCTCAGCTCTCAATCTTGGCTCGGTGTTTTGAGAGTAATCTTTGGTCAGAGTTGCTATTCAGTGCACAGTGTTGATCCGGCACACCCCTCATCTCTCTCTCTCTCTCTCTCTCTCTCTCTCTCTCTCCCTTGTCTTTGCGTCCTGCAACCAAGTGCAGAGAAATGGACTGTCTTGTTTTCTTTGTGTATAGTGTGCGACTGTAGATGTGTGCACATGTGGGTGTGTCATCATGACTGCTTTGGCAGGCAGGCGGACAACATCGGGCTGCCGTGAGGCGCTCTCTTTGCTGACCTACTTTCCCTCCCGCCTGCCCACAGCTGGTGCTGAGTTATCGCACCAGATCAAATGCCAACCATTCCAGTCGCTTTCACGTTATTAAAGCATTCTCCTGTAACCGCAGATTCCTCTGTTTATTTTTTATTGTGAACTGAATAGGCTTACAGAAAGTCCCCATATTGAGGTTTAGAGTATGTAGCTAAGTCTGTGAGTTGTTTGTGTGCCCTTCTTCCTCTTCTTACTGTTGTGTGCAGTTGCCGAGTCAGCAAAGCCAAACTTTAGGAGCGGGTTCCTCCCACATTCAGTGGTATCCAGCTATAGGTTTTATGGTTATGCACACAGTGGCAGCAGCAAGACTCCAATTCATTTAAAGACCAGAAAGCCACCTCCCACCTACACACAGCCACTGAAGGCTCCTATTATGGAAACTAATATGGAAACATAGATCCTTGGGGGGTATTTACTTCTGCTCTGCCAGGTTCAGTCTTCACCTCTGATGTAGCCAAACAGTTGTTGCTGCACTTGGCAACACATTGTAGCTGTTATTGAGGAGGGTTTGTCAATACAGCATGGAGGAGAAGACAATGGCTCTTAGCAGGCAGGGACACTGAGGGGTCATTCAATGTGTCGCATGTAAGCATGCCTATAGGCGCGTTCACACCAAGTACTTTTCCCACAAAGGTTCCTGAGAACTCTTTAGTTCTCATGAACTAAGTACAGATCGCGTTCACACCGGAAATTAGTTCCTGGGGGTGGATTAGGCAAATGAAGGCGCTGACGTCACTTCTTCTTCTGACGTCAGCGCCTTCATTTGCCTAATCCACCCCCAGGAACTAATTTCCGGTGTGAACGCGATCTGTACTTAGTTCATGAGAACTAAA